TTTTATTTAATACAATACATTATTATAGAAAACGTAAAATAAAAACAAATAAGTACAATGCTGTACTATTTTGTATTTGCTTTAAACAGAGCTATCTACCTTGTTTTATGCTACCGCAAATTTACCAATGTGTGACTGTCAAATATTATTCCAAATATCCTGTATTATTCTCCGCAATTCAGACAAGTTCTTTCTAGGTTATCATTTCAGAACATTTTCTGCATATTTTTCGGAAGCTGAATTCCTGTCTAACAAGTCTTGTTCCTGAAGGAATGACCTGGTGGATAAGAATATTTTCTACCTGTCAGCAGTCAGTGTGCCATCATTTGATCCACTAGCGTGTTTCACTATAGATGTTTTACGTTGATCGCACAACATTGAACCCCCCAGTGGCACAGCGGTATGTCTGCGGACTTAGAACGCTAGAAACCGGGTTTCATACCCATGGTGGGCAGAACACAGACAGCTCATTGTGTAGCTTTGTGCTTAATTACAAACAAACACAACATCGAAAAAAATATCTTTGTTTCTGAACAATGTGAACTTGAATTAATCTGTAAAGAGCATCCTCCTTCGGTTTTGTTCATCCTATTGTTTAAAGTGTGATGCCCATTTTAGTCTTTTGGTTTGATTAACTATCCTACCAGTTGTTCTTGAGCAGCTACTCAGTTAAGGCAAGTTTGTGGTAATGATTATATAACATTCACACTTGTACTTACAACTAGATCATTAACAAGTTTTCTACTGGATTTCAATCTATCTTGCAAAATGCATACCCTGAGTTACTTAACATCACTTTTGAAGAGCCCCCAGTGGCACAGTGGTATGTCTGCGGACTTATACTGCTAGAAACTGTGTTTCGATACCCGTAGTGAGCAGAGCACAGATAGTCCTTTGTGTAGCTTTGTGCTTAATAACAAACAAACTTTTGAAGTATTTCTTTTTACCTCGACATCTTCTGTTGTCAAAAGTATTATTTTCATCACCATTACTTTAGAATATTTTTTTATCTTGTCCTCTTTTAGCTTAAAATGAATGCTGGACAATGCATCGCAATAGGCAAATTATTAATATTCTCTCTCTCCATCCATGACTTATATATGCTACACAATTAATTAATTTAAAATTTAATTAAAAGCAGTACACAGCAACAAATTATTAACTGAAGTAGTTTTTTAAAGTTGTTCGAGATGCTTAATCTTAATACAAAGCGATGCAACACTGTCACACACGTAATTATCTTTCGTGTCTGTACCAATCATCACTGAAACTAAATTGCGATTTTCATATTCTGAGTTTCTCATGCAGGTTACATGTGGTTATAATGAGGGAAGACTATTTTTGTTTTCATAAAAATTGGCCAGTACAGCTAATATAGTGAGGTATTGCCACTGAGATGCCTAAACAGAACAAATTAACACCCTTTCAAAGAGTCAGAGTCAAATCTTTATACGATGCTGGTTGGAGTTCAAGAAAATGCAAAAGACCTCTGCTTTTCACCAAGTACTGTGAACAGATATAAAGACAGATACAGGGGAAGTCAGACAAGACAAGAGAGGGGAAAAAAATGTCACTGAAGGAGACGTTAGATATCTAAAAATCATTTACTTGAAGAACTGAAAGAAAATTAAAAAACCTTGCTGATGATAAATATATGGCCGTTGGGAAAGAGTAGCAGCAAAAAAAAAACTCTTAATGTGTAAAGAGAATATAGTAATAACACCAGTTTTTGCAAAACAACATGTAACCTGGAATTTGGAACAGTGGCACAAGATGTTTTGGACAAATGTGACTAAATCTGAGCTATTTGATTCCAGCTGACGTATATACGTTTGCCGAAAAGTCAATTAGAGGTTTCAGAAGGAAGGCCTTGTGCCTGCACTGAAACATGTAGGAAGATCTGTGACGGTTTGGGGCATAATATCTATGAATCATGTTGGACAAAATTGGTGCAATCATGGATCAGCATAAATGCCACAGTATATATTAGTCCATTATGCTGCACCCTATGGAAAGAAGCTGTTTGGGGAGAATTTCATATTTCAAAAAGATATACACACTTCTAAGAAATGGCGAATTTATGTGGTAAAGAAAGAAAGCTCTGATCTTCAGCGAATGTAATGACAGCACCGAATTCCAGATCTTAACCTAATTGAACAAATCTGGGCTATTCTAGACTCTATGCTCGACAAAAGTATTAATTATACTAAAGAAAACCTCTGGATACAACTTCAAGAAGAAAAATGGACTCAATTGATACCAGAAACTTTGAGAAAGTAAATAGACACGATGCCACAAAGATGCCAAGCTGTTATTGATGCCAAAAATGGTCACACTAAATATTAGCATTAAATAAACTTAAACACATTAATTGTGTGCTAATTGTATAATAATTTCCTATAAGATGAATTTGTAATAATTTCAAGTTGATTTCTCTAGTTGATTACTACTTTGTATGTAAAGTTCATACAATGAAATTACAAATGTTTAATTGTTCTAATAAATTTGCACATTACTGTATGTTAATAATTTTTTTGACAATTTTCATGGTAAATTGCTCTCCACAGCCACCAAGTTAAAATTCATATCTTAAGAACTTAGGGACGGTTAGTGCAGTTATTCCTTGTGCAGTTTTAGGCAAAAATTAAAAAACAAAATAATATAATATGTTGTTTTAAACTTAATTAAAAATAAGATTTCACCCGAAGTAAGATTAAAACACTAGCTGCTATGGGAAGCTATAAACACAGATGCAGAACCTTACATAACACTACGCCATTCCCTCATTTCAGATGTTTTTCAACTTGCTACTAATTATAGTTACAGACAAAAGAGAAGAAAGCTAGTCAACACCACCCACCGCCAACTCTTGAGCTTCTCTTGTGATACCGAATAATGGAATTTTACCGTCACGCTTATAACACACCCGAGACCCACCAAAATGCAGAGAGCTGTTTCTTCGGGGGTGGTAACGGGACGCAAACCGTAGAATCCGATTCATAGTCCGGCACTCTAATCACTGGGCTGCGCTCATGCCATATTAGTCATATATTATGAATGTCATAGAGTAACAAAAAAAGATTAAAAGCGGAAAAATATTGCTTTTTTATCTTTTATATTCTTGCTCTTTTGTCCCCCGGAGGCACAGAGGTAAGTCTACGGACTTACACTACTAAAAGCAGGGGTTCGATTCCCCGTGGTGGACACAGCAGACTGCCCAGTGTGACTTTGCTCTTAAATAAACAAGCATTCCTGTTTTTCGCCTGACATGGATTGCTGGTTAGGGCGCTGGAATCGCAATCTGAGGGTCACAGGTTCGAATCCTTGTCACCGAACTTGCTCGCCCTTTCAGCCATGGGGAGGAATTATAACGTACAGTCAATCCCACTATTCGTTGGTAAAGAAATAGCCCAAGAGTTGACTAATTTATCACTACTAAATTAAGGTCGGCTGTCGCAGACAGCCCTCGTGTAGCTTTGCGCGAAATTCACAATAAACTAAACCAAACTTTTCCATTTTCAAAGAAAGAATGCTTGAATGGATTAACGCAGTATATTCAAGTTTTAGTGAATATATAAATAAAACTAATTTCTTTTAAAAAATAATTTTACTAAATAAACAATAAATGTATCCAAAAAATAATTGCCCCCCTTTTCATTGGAACTAGAACAAGCAGCAACAGAAATATAAAAAAGGGTGTCAAGTTCCTCATTTTTTCTTATTTAACTAACTAATTTTTACATTAAATCTTTACACAGTTTGACCTTTTATATATGACTTTATTCTTTTTTTTTTGTATCACATCCGTATTTGGGTGACCCTTGTTTTCTAACTTCGCTATTTTTATACCATAATATTTGCCTCTTACACCACTTTAATTACTCTTTCTATATATATTACCTCCACCCCTGTGTGTGTGTGTGTGTGTGTGTGTATTTGTGTGTTTGTCAGCAAGATTTCTCGAAAACGGCTGAATGGATTTGGACGAAAGTTGGACTATGTCCAAACTTAGAAGCGGTTAATTTTTTGATGGTCAAAGGTCAAGGTCATTAAAATCCAAAAGATCCCTATCTGTTAACATGGGGACCTGTTTTTTACATTGTTTTTGCTCCATAACTCACACACAAAAAATTATCTTATTTTGATAAAACTTGGTGGACATATGTAGAATTATGTTCTGGTAAAAATGGACCGATCCATTTGTATCAACGAACGTACGGACACATTTTCGTTTTTTTTTTTTTTGAGAGCCGAAAATGATCACCGCTGTGTGCCGGAGGTATGTATGCGCTCTACTGAGCGCCTCTCTAGTTTAAATACTATTTATATAAAAATTCAAATTGTCGAAAGAGGAAATAGTCTCTTTTTTTACCCTGCTGTTTTTCACCATGCTTACAACTCTATTTCGGCTTTTTTTTTTTCATGGTCATTTTTAATGATAAAGTATGAGCCACTCGTCAGTTGTTGTTTTTTTTACTCTATTATTCACTGTTCACATTAAAATAATGAATGTTGACATTATAGAAAACACTAATTTTTGCTGGTGGTAATCCAGCCTTTATTTGATGTCAGCTGATATATTTCTTTTCCTTATAACGTTTACTATTTTTTCTTAGTTTTATATTTTTTTCTTGTGCTTCATTAAAGAAAACTTAACAAGAGTAAAGAAATAGAACTGAAGAATCTGAACATGGCAAGTTTGTAATAATGTCATGGAAATATATCATTAATATTAAGTCTACTTTTGCGCTAAACGCTTTTGCAATAACCGTAGGACTGTTGGATAATTCTTTAGACTAATAACATTTCATCAGTACTCAGTATATTTTAACTCATGCACCTATTTTTCAAACTCACCTAAAACAAATGGGATCTTAACTGAAATTATGTGTGTATGTAACATTAAAACCAAATTATTTATATATTCTTAGTTTCGTTAGCTGACACTATTTTTCTCTCTAAACGCGCAACTAACTATTATTGTTCTGTCTTTTTGATAGTTATGCTGCTACCTCCTGTTCGTACGTCGCCAACCAAGCTGTTAGTTTTTATTTTGTGCCACCAGATGGGGTTTTGTTTCAATCATCTTTTTCAACCTTTGGACACTGAGATGAATCATATTCAAGATTTGAAAATTCAACATGTTCTGGACAACACTGCTCATGGTACGACAATCATTAACCCTATTTTTCGCATATCAAATGTTGTTTACATGCTGTTTGTACCTACAGAAGTATTTTAATGTCGAAGATAAAGGCACTTATTTCATATTGTTCGATCCTTAATTTTGTAATTTTCTAGGTAAAAATTATATTACTTTATAGAATATAAATATATATCGTACATATTTTACGGTGGTAAACAAGGCAGTCTTTGGAGTTTTATCTTTACTGAAATATTAAGTCTTCAGAATATCTGAATGCTAAAGGAGTAATTGTAACCTTTATTGAATTCTAAGTAAATCTTAAGTCCTAAATATATTTCTTCTTCCCTTATGACATCAGTTTACTTATATAACTTAACGCAAGATATACTAAAAATCAACATTCTTCATTTGGTAAGCGTTATCAGTAATTATACCATGAAAAGTCAAAACACTTAAGGTTTGTTCTTTTTTGATTTCGCGCAAAGCTACACAAGGGCAATCTGCGCTATCGTCCCTAATTTAGTAGTATAAGACTACTAGTCATCACGACCCTCTCTTTTACCAACGAATAGTGGGATTTACCGTCACTTCATAACGCCTCCACGGTTAAAAGGGTGAGCATGTTTGGTGTGACGGGGACTCGAACCCGCGACCCTCAGATTGCGAGACGAGCGCCCTAATCACCTGGCCATGCCAGGCCCAAACGTATATAAAACTGAATCAGGATAATAATTACAAATACTTCTATTATAAACATCACATTATATTTTAAAAGGTGTCTCCAAGATGTCCAACAGTGGCTCAACGACAACTCTGCAGGCTTACAACGCTAAAAATCGATACCCGTGGTGGGCAGAGCACAGATAACCCATTGTGTATTTTTACACCTAACAACAACAAAACCAAATCAATGTCACACGAAAACATTTCAAAAACAAACAAGACATGCTAATAATCAAAAACACTCATTTCACAGAATGTTACAATTTTTAAACTCTCTTAGAAGCCAAATATGTTCCATTCTTTTCCGTCGTCAATAACACTAGAATTGAGCAGTCTTCGTGCTTGACTATTGCATCTCGTTCAAAACTCATTAATCAAAACTTAATTATCCGTCAATCCCGCTGTTGCGCAGGCTGCGGATGCTGCTATCTAATTGTTCCTCCCTTTATTCTAAGTTAGGTTAGATTGTGCAGGAGTTTCATTAAGTAGAAAAATTAAAACCTTTCACAATTTTCCTTTAAATATTTTGGCGGCGTTTGTAATACAGGGGAGGGAAGTGACCGGAGAGAGGGCAGACCTGTTTTAACCTTAATATACCAATAAAGACTTATCAGGCCAAACCTATCGTGTGTTTTTATGCTTGGCCATCTCGTTTTGTTGCTTGTAAGAGTTAACGTTAGTTCAGCATTGTAAGTATATAAGTGTGGATGTTTTTACGTTATCACCTAGTAAGTTTAGATGTTGAATTTTAGCAAGTATCAAAAGTTGTTTCTGTTAACATCGTATTTTACCATATTGTAGATAGTTTCCAATATGCCATGTAAGACGTACTTTATATAAATAAATATCCAACTTCTGACCAATCACAAAATTAAAAAGAAAAGCGTGGATTCAATACGGCGTTCTCCATCGTTCAGCTGGGAATAAACGCGGGGAAATACAACTAATGGGAATTAGGGTTATCGTTTCGTTTTCTTATTAAGCACTAAGCTTAACAGCAATGCCATCCGCAAGTATTTAACCCCTATTTTAGTTTGTTTGTTTGTTTGTAATTAAGCGCAAAGCTACACAATGAGCTATCTGTGCTCTGCTCACCACGGGTATCGAAACCCGGATTCTAGCGTCGTAACTCCGCAGACATACCGCTGGGCTACTGGGGGGGGGGGCGATTTTAGTGCTCTAGGACCTCAGAGTAATCGTTGAGCCACCGAGATGCACATTCTATTCAATAATCCGTCAATGTTTGTGGGGCGTCTCTTCACAAATACAAATTAGGTAAAACCGAAGTGATGGTTGAACTATTTTCGCCTCGAGAAGAGAGAGAGAGAAAAAAAAAGAGACTATCATGACTGTATAAATGAATATTTACGGACAAGATTTCCAAGTAAAACGTACTGAGTTTCTTGTAAATGTTTCTGAACCTTTGATAAAATTTCAGGAAGCGTTTCGGATCCTTTTTAAATACGTAATAAACATTATGTTTTCGTAATGAAATCCCTGGTTATGTCTGAACCATAGACACGGGCTTAGCAATAGGTGGAGCGGCTGCCCCAAGGACCATAAAATTTGTTATTTGAAATCTTAAAAATTGGAATTGAGAAGAAAATATTCTGAAACACGGAAGGGAAAAGTTTTAATGGGAGGAGAGGGGATTTTGAGACCTAGTTATGCCACTAAAGATGAAGGTTTCTGATCTGCCTATTCAACCAGTGAGTAGAATAATGTGGAATTCAGATTGAAAATACCAAACCTTTTAGGTCGAAAAGCATAATGAAAACTTTTTAATTGAAAAATAAAAACCTGGCCTGTTTTCCCAGTGTCCTTTGCTATCATAATCTGTTGGTTTAATGAGCCTGAAAGAAAGAAGAGTTGTGATCAATCCTATGACTGCAGAGATGGACGCAGTTGTGAAAAGTCCGAGAGGCAATTCCAGTCTGTGTAAATGTTAATACACCAACTGCCATGGTTTTGGTAACTGAAGTAAAAATTGGATGGGGTTCATGATGTTTGGTTGATAGTATTCTGATTGTCATATCAGCTAGCTGGTGATGCAACTAGTCTAATCTTTTTCTAAGGATCTTTGGCCTACTTTCCATGCTCATTCTACTATGGTAAAAAGGTTTATCTACAGAATACGTCAGAAACAGTTCTTGCACTGTTGCAGTTCTGGAATGTGTAGCTTTCTTATATAGTTGAAGAACTTATGGCTTTGACTCCTACAGCATTCCCTATATTATGATACATATCCAACATCATATTTATGGCTTTATGCAACGCCCTTTTAATGTTAATGTCAATCAGAATTTATAGTCACTGTTGTGAAATATTTCTTTGTGCTTTTTGGTTGTCTGTGTGTCTGTCCTGCTCTTCTAATATCTCTACATTTCTGGCCACATCCTTAGTTTTGTTCTTCCAAAATTCTAATATTTGGTTTTGCTTTTCCAATCTTCTGTTCACTTATTTGAAAGTTATTCAAATATCCGACTGCATTATTTTATACTTCTTCACAAGTATTCTCTATTTGTTGAAATATATCCAGGATATTAGAAAAGTTTTAATCCAACTTCTCAATCCTCTAGCCGTTTTTTAATGTCAGACCGTCTTCTGACAACAAATTGTTATTTACTGATTTTTCAAATGAGTT